TTCCTGCTGTTTAGAGATTCTACATACTGCAGATCACACATCTCAAATAGAGTACTTCTGGGTATTAGTAATTCTTTATCTGCAGTTAATTTGGGGGAGGAGGGGAGTATTCTTTGTGGATTTTTCTTTAAAATTTCTTTTATTTAAACTGTGAGCATTAGTTATTTTCCTTAGATTGCCTTGAAGACTCTCAATCTTAAAGCACACAAAGGTCTGTTATGAGAAGCATTTCCATACAAAGATAAACTGTTAAATGAGGGAGGAAAAAGTTATACATGAGAAATATCTGCATATGGAATGCAGTAGCTTCAAGTTGAGACAGCCTGTGGAGGACTTGTTCAGACCATCATATGCTTATGGAACTTATCCAGCGTAAGCTAAGATAACGTCAAGTGGAAAGGAATTAAATTTAGACCAAACTTCTTGGTAGCATGCTTTTATGTGATGATTGCTTCCTGTACAGCATAGTGTGTACAGAATAAGTAACGCTTATGTACCTGTGGTTGTAAAGGAAAAGTATCATGAAAGACTACCTCAGAAAAGGTTGGCAAGTAAAATTAATTGGCTTTTTAAAGAAAAAAAATACTTTATTACAGTCATTCCATGTTAATAAATTGACTTTTAGAATGCTAGATTACATATTTCCCTCATTACAGATAGAATCAGAGACTGGTTTGGGTTGGAAAGGACCTTAAAACTTATCTAGTTCCAACCCCCTGCCATGGGTAGGGGCACCTTACACTAGACCTTGTTGCTCCAAGCTCCGTCCAGCCTGGCCCTGAACACTGCAGGGATGGGGCAGCCATCGTGAACATTGATTACTGAAAACACTTTTTTTGTTTGTTTGTTTGTTTGTTTTTTTTCCCCCCCAGAGACTGAAAATGAAGAACTGGAAAAACCCAAAGTGCTCTGGGCAGTCTACTTCAACATGAGAGATTCTTCAGGAGTAGAGAAAATGTCATATGATGGGTTACCCTCGAATGTTTATGTCTGTTCTGGACCAGACTCTGCTTTAGGAAATGACTGTGCTGTTAAACAGGTTTGTGGTTTTTTGTTAAACTGATCATTTCTTTTGGTTACAGAACTTTAAAATTAAAGACCTAACGAAGTCCAATGCAGTCTGCTTCTTTTGGTTACAGAACTTTAAAATTAAAGACTTAACAGCAGACTGCATTGGACTTCGTTGTTCGGGTTATTCTCCTTTATGCTAGGTAATTAGTACTAATACAGCTGTAAAGCTTTACAGCTAAATGTGCAAAAAGTCTTACTTAATAAACACAGTGAATGTCAGTGGGATTGAAAAAGGAGGAAACTTGAGAAAAGGTCAGGTGATATAGTCATTAGGAGTAGCAGATAGTAAATCTGAACACGTAAAGGGAACCTAGAAGGCACCAGTTCCTGAAGTTGATGGTCTTGGCACAGTGGTTAATTGCTTTAATACTGTAGAAAAGAAAAACTGTCAATTCCAAAATACAGATGATAACTCCCCAAAATTTGTAGCTTTTTACCTGTAGGGTTAGAGAGGAAGTACGGCAGTAAAGAAGCTACTACTGTAGAAATTAGAGGTCAAAAAAGTCTATCTAGAGTTCAAGTTGGAAGGATCATCAAATTAGTCTAATAGGCACAGGAAGTAGTCACAAACCTAAAACCTTTGGGGGAAAAAAATCCAGCATAATTACTAATCTGGTACTTGAATTTATCTGTCTCGGTTTATTTTCTCTTTGCATTAATACCATCATATTAAAAAAAATGTGGTTTAACTGTATCTCTGAAGGAATTGAGGGGGAATGTTACTCTATTCATGACCTTGAGATAATATTTGGCACCAAATCACAATCAGTTCTGATTGTTAGTTCTCAGTATTTGGGTGTCTACGTAACTAGTTCCTGCCAACTACAATCCTGAACTGAGAACCACTTGTAACTTGCCTGCAGTATAGGCATACAAGTACTCAATTTAAGACAAACTACTAGTGCTTTGAAATTGGAGGTGAAGAGTAAAAGCTCTCTAAGCAATACTAGGTAGATGAAGAGATCATGAAATAACCACTTTCTGTGCTGAAAATTGGCAGAATATGCAGGGACACAAGTAGGTGTACGTAGAAATTCACAAAGAACTTCCTATCACACCTCTTGTTGTGCCTTCCCCATTACTGTTGAGCAGAAGACAAGATCATGCAAATACCTAGATTGCGACTTGTGCAACAAAAAACATGCTCCTTTGCTCTTCCATTCAGAGATCCACCTTGATAGAGGAGGTATAAATTCTTAGGCAAATCTACCACTGCAGTCACTGTGGTGTCAGGGTGCTTTCAGTGCTAACCTGAGTACACTTCGATCTTTGTGGGATTAACTGATGCTAGTTATTTTTAAAGCTGTAGTTTTTTAATGGCCGTGTTCAGAGAATGTGCATGCCATCTTCTAACCAGCTGTAGGAGTTTTTTATGACCAAGTCATAAACCTCTTAAAAATAAGATTTTAAAGTGCAAAGGCTGACATAGCCTGAACTGTAGGGTCAGAACAGTATAATTAAGGGCTAATAGTACACTTCATTTTGCTTTACAAGGCAATAATTTGCCTCCCAAGAGGATAAAGAACTGTAAAGACAAAAATAATACAAGACAGTTATTATATTAGCAGTTTTAAATTGTAAATTAGTTCTATTCTGAGATTTTTTTGAAACTATTATTATTTAAAACAGTGCAAGCTAGAAGCTGTTTAAATACACTTAAAGCCCAGCCTCATTCTAATTTTCATAGCCACCTTTTCTAGTATTCAGCTTTGTCTTACCTTAGGAGCTCTTTTTCTTACCAATGCGTAATGGTATTATAGATCAAGCTGTGTTTAAATACTCTAGGTGCTGTAGTTAGCCTTCATGTTAAATCTGTTGACCATCAGTGAGACAGATGTTGAGCAAGCAGGTCTCTGAGGAGAAGCAGTGAAGAGCCTGAAATGCTGCCTTTCAAGGAGTAGGTAGAAGCTACATTTTTTTTAACCTGTTTTAAATTTTGAAACAAATGGTCACTAGTTAGAGTGGAAAGTATTACACTGTAAGCATGTTTATAATTAAGAGTCATAGGGAAAATGAAACCAAGGAGCTTATGTGGGAGCAAAATGAAGAGTAGACTGAGGATAACGCAGAACTCGCAGTCAGAACACGCCCATCCCATCTAGCATGTTGGTACTGTCTAGACAAGTGGAGGAGGAAAATAGATGGAAGTTGGTGTGCCTTCTACCCCCAGATGGCTTTCATTTTCTTAGCAATGGGATGGAAATCTCCAAACATGAAATATTCACAAACTCATGGATCAGAACACTTTAAAAAAACAGATTAAAACCCACTATGTGTGTATTAGTCTTGAAGATAGCTTGGAAAATTGAATCTAATTTCTGAAATCAATTCTGTGTTTACTGTTTTAATGATAACTTCCCATGATTTATGTTTTCATTACTATTAGTATCACTAACTTCTATACGTCATGCTGTGTGACTGTATTGAAGATATGTTATTTAGAAGGCAAGACACCACAACTTTTACAGACAATTATCCATCTACTGCTCTGTACACAAATGACTTAATTCTTGTTTCATTTTAATTTAGTGTTAAATTCCTAGTATAATATTGAATTAATTTTGATGTCTGCATTTATTTGCCCTTGGGATAGGCTAAATAAAATACAATGTAACATTTATGTTTTCTTTAAATTCTGTATGTATAGATCAAGTAAAGCATCTGGCTTCAGTTTTCTGTTTTTTCACTGCTACAATCTGGCATGAATTACTATGTTCTAAAGTAGTATGTTCTCCCAAGTATTTCAGATTTCTGAAGCATCTTCAAGTTTATAAGAGGAAGCACTAAAATTGTCATGCCAATATTTGTCCTTTAACCTGTTTATGGTTTTTTCTATATCTGGAAGGATTTCAGAGTTACTCAAGCGTGTTGTATTTCAGACTGCTGTTAGTTTGGTAGTGTTCTCTGTAAAAGTTGCTCTGAAAGCCCATATAGCTTGTCTACATGCCATCAAGTTGTGTAGCTGGGGTACAGTAAAACAGTAACAACACATAGTTTTATTCAACTTCAAACAGTTATTAAGAGTATCTTATGCAAATGCTTTACATGCTTATGTCTTAATACTTAATTCAAACATAGACACTTGAAAGCTGGTACACTTAACTACTAAATATTGCAGGAACTATTTACTAATTTAATTAGCTACAATAAGTATCAAAGTGTTATAATGAAGGAACTGTTAAATTTTTATTGGTTGTTCTGCATTATTTCAGCTGGATAAGGTTATCTTAAAGAATTGGTAGACCTGAAAGCACTCTATAGCATTAAATTGTTCAGTTACAGTCAATGTTATGATGTCCCACGTAACATCCTGAGAATTTATTTCCATGTTCAACCTCATAATGATATGACCATTTTTGGACTGACCAATTGGAGACTGAATAATTATTAAGAACTGCATAGAAAATGTTTGTCTGCTCTCATTTGCAATATATTTAGTGCAAAATATGATACCTCTCTTCAGTATTCTGTTAACTATAACAGTAGTTTAAGTATATTTTTGGAGTTTCGAGCACAAGTGCAGACTTGAAATAAAAAGTTTCTCTTATCTTCAAAAAGTCAGTTTTGTAAACTTCCTGTAGGATATTTGTACCCTCTTACCCCCTAAAATTACTAGGCAAGGTTTCAAATTGCAAAACCATATTTTTTAAATAAAGCATAGATTTTTTTAATTATTATTTATATATTTTTTCATATACTAATATTAATAGTTTCAGGCAGTTTAAAATAGGAATGGGACAGCGAAATTTAGGAAGCAGAATGAAAAATTAAATTGAACTGAGAGTAGATGGGGTCATTCAGGCAGTTAATACTGCAGCTCTACATCCACGTGCTGGTGTGGCACAAATACAGTGGGCAGTGAAGTTTATCACAGAAAGCTGTTTGGTGCATGCTCAATGATGTATTAATCTGAAAACAATTCCCTCTTGTCCAGGAATCCTCATAGTGAAATCAGCCTTTGCAGTTGGCATTAACTGACCCTACTGTCAGCTTCTTCAGGGTGTGTCTAGTAGCAGTATGAGTATAAAGATTAAATGCAGTCTTCCCTATGTGGGAGCTCTTGTCTCAGGTCAGCTTTTGGGTATAGTTTACTGAATATCTAAATTGAGGCAATATTCCTTTGCCTTTTTAGGAACCCAAAACATAACTGTGATCTATATCAGCTGTCTCTTTTTGCCTTAGAATTCCTCAGTGTCTCTAGCTTGCCTTCTTTTTAGTTTTCTTTTTAGCTTATGCTTATAGGCAAGTTATTTGCACAAGAACATGTAAAACTCTTTAACACCAGTTAACAAAGCTCCTTGCATTCTTGTGGGTTTTAAAGGATTTTATTTTTTTGCCTCTTTTCTTTTTATACAGTGTCTGGTTCTCAAGAATTCTAAGATCATATTATTCTGGTTCTTTTTCTCCCAGATTTTTTAGTTATATTCTGTTATAACAAGTACCCTGATGTTATCAAGAACATGTTTCTTTTTAATGTCTTTCATTACAGTGGTCAAAAAACTTGACTTTTTGTGTGTACTTAATTTCTAAACCTTGATGACATGAAGAGTAAGTGGCATTCTAAACTAAATCTTTGAGCTATATCTTAAGAGAGTTGTCTTTTTATCTGAATAGAAGATGCTTCTACAGTTCTTCTTGGAAAGACACAATTTGGGCACATACGTTTATGGACATAATACATTGTAATGATAGACATGTTTTTTTGAGTAAACTAGAAATGTATACAAATATGCTTATATATTTAATGATAATATTCTATCGGATGAGAATAATTTGTCACTGAGGTACACATGAGCTCTTCACAAAAACGAAAACAGAAAGTTTTCTGTAATTTTTATGAGGGAAACCCACATAGGTATGATGTAGGTTGCACATATTAACGATTTCCTGTGTTTGCCTGTTAAATGAAATGGATTCTTCTCTCTGGAAAGGATCTTTCTCATGCTTTGCATTTGAGTGCAGCTAGGGATATTTTTGTAGTGCAAAAGATCATTTTGTTTGCAGACAATCATCTTTGTTCTCATTATAGTGTAGAAAGAGCAGCATTTTTTAAGAAGCCATAGTTGATTTTCATCGTAGAACAATGTGAAAAGGTGATTGCATTTCCTTTTTCGTGGGCTGCAAGAAGGAATGGATTTCCCTTATGTTTACAATACTGTCAAAGTATTAAATCACTATTGATTTGAAAGAACAGAGGTTGATCTTGAATATCTGTAAAACATCGCTACAAGGTATTACATTTCAAGGCAAAGTTTCTTTCATGCTTTTTTTGTTTTCTGAATAGGCGGAGACCATTTTCCATGAAATGTTTCCTACAGAGGAATTTTGTCCACCACCACCGAATCCAGAAGATATTATTTATGATGAAGATGAGATTGCACCAGAAGAGTCTGGATTCAGTAATTCGCCAGAGACAAAACCTGAATCCTCAACTGAGGAAAACAGTAGTGGAGGTAGTACTGCTGTTAAGAAGGAAGATAATGAAGAATGAATTACCACTGTTCTCTTAGTAGAAAAGGAGGTTGACCCAAACTAGAATGTAAGGGAGGAAGGGTAAGAAAAAGAGGTTTAAAAACCCCGTAGCTGTATTATTTGCAATTGCCTTACTTTCCTTAGCTTGAATAATCTTTCTTCATCAAATAGCGTCATTGATAGCTGAGACATTTCTAAATAGTCATAGGTCTACCAGGTCCAGGGGTGTTTGTAGCTCAACAGAAAACGTAGAACAAAGCATTTGTATTTAAAATGCTAAAATAGGATTCATGATTTGTTGAGGTAATTGTTTTTTCATTTTACATCTTGGAAGGAATCCTCCATCTTTTAAACAGGCACCAAGTTGAAACTAATGAAAAGAAAAATTGTGCAAGTTTGCTTACCAGTCAGATGATGATCTTCTGACACAACATATCAAAGTTCTGCTAAAAGTCATTGGATCAGTGCTAATTAAACAGTGGAAGGTGAGCTTCACAATCTGTTCTTCAGAGTGTTTTTATGAATGGAACTTAAAGACAATAATATTGACAGTTCTGGAGTAACTTTAGAATATGTAATAGATGTCATGTTTAATTTGTATAATGAAGAATTTTTGTATAGTTTTGAAACTGATGCCATAGTTCAGAAGCAAATACAACCCAATAGATGTTCTTTGCATGAAAATATTTTATATTTGAATTTTATTTTTATTCAGTAAGACTTACTGGATCATGCATTTTTACTAGTGACTTAATTTACTGTATTCAGGAAAATAGCACAATTTAAACTTCATGATAGATTTCCCAACAAAATGTAAAATCATAAATGGAGTGTACCTGGTGTTAGTTGCCCTGGATTTGTTGCAGTGTTTGGGCCTTTAATAAGGTAGTAGTTAATTTTTTGAAGTATGATGTCTGAGAAGTTTAGATGATGATTAATTGAGGCTTTTTGTGGCAGGGAGAAGGTTCAACTGATAATTCCAAAGGATTGTACTGATCCTGGTTAATAGGATTAAAATTAGTGTGATAGCTGTTAATTATGTGTTTTGTAATGATAAATCATGAAGCGTTTATACAATAAAATTTATTGAAGTATTTATAAGCCATTTATATGAAAAATTACAAAACGAGAAAGCTGTTGTAAATGACCATGATAAATTTGCACTTCTTCTGACCGATGCTTGAAATGAGATGTTCCAATGATGAAAAATATTTAGCATTTACTTGAATCTTTACCTTATAATATACACCCAATAGATGAGTAGTGCATCAAAATAAAGAGATAAGTGACTTTTGATGAGTCAGGGTTTAAACTTCTACATGAGCTTAGCTCTAGTTCTAGCAGCGCTTAAATACTGTACGTGAATAGAAAATGCCGTTGAATAATGAATATTCAGCACTGCCTGAACTTGACACATCCAGGCTTTGTACAGTTTCGTGGTGCACGTGCCTGCCTTTGAAATGGCTTCATGCCATAAAGGTTAATTTATTTATTTTTTTACAGCATAACTGGTAATGTTACCTTTATTTTGTCTTGCATCGTAATACATTGTCCAGTTTGCATTTCAGAACTTGGTTTATTAGTGTTTGCGTTTGTTGTTTGCTGGATAGGTACCATTGTGTGTATAATCCCAAAGTCCTCAGAAAAATATGTGGTTGAAATGTTTCCAATGTTAAACAACAGTTATCTTTGGATGCTTGTGGTTGAGCAGTTATTTATGTATAGTAATAAGCAGACTGCCTCTTCATTTAGCTGTAATTTTTATGTATATTGGAAAGCATGAGTATATGGTAATTGTATTTAACATCTACAGATCTGTAAAAGAACTAAGTGGAGGACCTTGTCCCTGTTTGTCTTTCAGTAATAGGGATCATAGTTGAATTTTTCATCTTCTGTGTTTACAGGGAAATTGTTTGATGAAAATTAAAGGTTTGCTTGCAAGTACATTTTCCTGTGTTTTCTTTCAATTACACAAGAGAAGCAGTTCATTTGTTAGCTGAGATTTCCTGATAATTCTGCTTTTTACTTTTGTCATGTTGAGATCTGTCCTAAGCTTGAAATTTACATGAGTGATAGTATGTTTATATAAGTTAGCAAATTTATATAAAGTAGTATCTCAGTGCTTCATGTCCATGTGCAGCAAAGTTTGGAAATATTGCAAATTTGATTTTAGATAAGATGGAATAATCTACAAGTTGTAGGCTATGACTTTACACTACATTGATTGCTTAAAAACTGTTCTCATGTCTCGTTCCTATGGTGAATGGAAACATAAAATGTTTTTCTTATGGTACTTGAGTACCCAATAGCTCACTTGCAGTAGCAGTAGATAAGACTGTTGGTCTTGCATTTTACAGAAATCTTCCACTGAATGCGTTTTGTTCTTGCTTTTAAATAGTTTAAGCATACAAAGTGAGGGTTAGGCTTATTTGAAGTAGTTTTTAAGGCTTGTCATACAGGATGTGTTCAAAAGATAACATGACTTTTTAAAAACTGGCAATTTATCTGTAGGATTATTAATAAATCAAGTTAAAGAAAGATAAGGTTAATTGAATTTTTAAACAAGTAGCTGTATTATCCTTCAAGCACCTTGGAGCTCATACAATATTCACATCTTTCTTCTTTTTTTTTTTCCTAAGGAGTGCTTTGATATGTTTGAATTCCTTTTTTAATGAGTACTTTCTTTTTAAGTTGCTTAATTGGATTAACCCTTAATATGCAAACAGCCAATTTTATGCCATTTTCCCTCCTGTGGTTGTATTGACTTATCTGTATGACTGCAATTAGTTACTGTTCCTTTGGAAGTATTTTCAGCCATGAAGCTGCTACGTCTGCTTTTTCTGGTGATGATGATGCTTAGGGCCATTTGACAGGTAATCACTAGAACTTAGATCCTTGCAGACTATGGGGTCTTTTCTCCTATCATTGCAGGGGGATTTATGTAGGTAACTCCTATTAATGTTAATGAGACTTGCATGTGTAAATCCTCCTTGCATCAATGGGAAAATTGACCCCTGAAAAAAATACCTTCATGTTAGACTTGCTGATTCAGAAATGTCCTGTATGGAAATGTGATGGAGCATGTGCTTTGTGCCGTTTCACTGAAATGCTCTGAAGAGGACTTGGGGACTTTCCAGGGCTTTTATCATTTATATTATATTTTATATTTTCCGTACACCTCCAGATGTTGGAGTTCCTCAAACAATTCTCTTTACGTAGCTACTATCAATTTCCCATTCCATATTCAGGAGGTTGCATGACTCCTTCTGCTTTGGATCTCGTATTTTTAGGCCCATCTCTTTGCCTCCTAATCTTTTTACATCAGCAGCATGTTCTAATTTCAAGAACAATTTCCTAGTAATGTATTGGTTAATGACAAGTCAGAAGTATTAAAATACTGTTTTCACACAGTAAGAGACTAGGTCACTTACAATCCATAACTTCATCTGTTGAAAGGATAAAATTAATTTCCTCAACCCTTTTCCAGGCTTGGAGTGGGAAAACATGTGAACTGCCTACTTTCCTCGGGTGGTGGGAGGAAGAAAGAAGAGACAGACAAACAAATGGAAATAGCTGAAGTGGTGGGAGGATAAAATGGGGGCCGTTTGTCGTAACTTTCATACTCTGAGATCAATTGAGTCTTGCAATTTTATTTCCACTTTTGCTATGTGAGATTTCTACATAGTTTCTGACAGTTTATGGACTCTAGGGAAAAACTATGTATGTAATTTTTGGAATGAGGCAGCAACAATTAACCAAGAGTGGACTAGTGTATAAATGGAGTAATACCTGGCATGTGCACTGAGGGCTTTACAGTACAAGAGTGTTATTTTTTGTTTATCTGCGGGTATGTTTATCCACTCTTTATTTTGTTGTTCAGTCAGTTACTTCTGTAGGTTTTAATGTATTTCTCTCCAGTGCATTTCAGGTTTTTACTTATCTGACAACTTTATGTCAGTAGCAAGTCATCCCCTTATAAAATACAAAATCTGGTGTCAGAACTGTCCTGAACTGCTCCAAAGATGTCTCCTAGCTTTTCTGCCATAATGAATGTTCTCTTCACCCATGAATTACCAATAAGCTCTGCAAATCTTGGTGGGGAGTCTGCTGTTGATGCCCTTTTTTATTTCTCCTTAGAATTCTGTGACTGCAATTAATGCAGTTGCTGATTTTCCAATTAAGGGAGCAGTTTACTAAGATCACGTCATGAAACTTCATTGATTTTTTTGTGTATGTGTATACAATTTGTAACAGAGTTTTCTTCAAATATTATTAGCTTTGTGCGTGTGTGTGTATATATATATGTGTGTGTTTATGACAAAATGAGTAACTCATGAAAGTTTACCATTTCAACTTTTGCAGAAATCAACCACTATAGAATGTCCTAAAGTTAGAATTACCTGCTCTTACCAAAACTGTCAAAAATAAGTGGGAGAGTTGTGGTGGCAGGGCAGTTGCTTGCGTTCATTGGGTAAGTAGTAATGCAAAGTGTTTCTGGTAAAGTGTAGAATTAGTTGTGACACTGGAAGTTTGAGACACTGGTATAAGATGTTCACCTATTGCAACCCAATTTAATCATAAGGTCCCTTCAGTAATCAGATGAAATCTTAAGTTTGGTGTGTATGATTTCAAGAACTTTTTAATGTGATTAAAGTTACCATAGATGGATAATTTCAGCTGTAAAGGTAAATAGTAGGTAGTGGTCAGCCATGTTGGATTCATGTCATCGGCCTCATACCTAGCAAAAAAATTCCTTTTGGTGGAAATAGGGCTTATTATCAATTCCACCATTACATTTATTTACAGGCTGCCAGTTCCTGTTTGTAAGAGTGAATGGTTCTTCAAAATCTGGATGGAGAACCAGGCAGGAATGTTGTAAATCTGAATGACACTTGAGATTTAGAAAGTTGACAGTGAAGTACCAGGAAGATGCAGTCTTTGGCTGCAGGAGAGTTCTGATCAGAGGAAACTTTAATAAAAAACTCTGTTCCTGTCACAATTCTAGCAGAGCATATATTT